AAAATAGACGGAAGTTATTGTATGACGTAATACATCATGTTCAATCACAGACGCTGGAACTTTTGATATGCAAACTTCACATAAGTTATTGTTTAATGGATGGGTAGATAAGGAAACGGTGCTTCTCGTAAGAAAAGTTCACTGTACTTTGTAAACAATCATGAGTGAACGGCAACATTTGCTTACCTCTATTTCAGAAGAGTTGATAAATGAGTTTATGGAGAACAAAACAAACATTTGATTGACTTCATGTATTTGTCGAAACTATGTCTGAGCGAAAGGATGTTGCAATTCATTACATTTTTCACCTTTTATTCCATATTTTGATATGGGGCAATATTTGGATGAAGATGAAATAAGTGAAATCGGGCCCGATATTTGTTGTCCTTATGCAAATCGTCCTTCTTCATTTATTGTCGTGTCAGCCAATCAGAATCCTCGTTACAACTGAAACGATCCTTGTTATATTTTGATTAAAAAAAAATTCTCAAAGTTCCAATGTAACCTTAGAAATGATAAAGTTGTCGCCTTGTGAGGTTTCTTTTTTAAATATACTAAACATTATTCAATAATACATTTTCTTAAAATGTAACTATAAAAAGGAAAAGAAAAATGCCAAATATTTAGTTCACTTTGTGACGTCATTTTGAGGATTTATTATACTTAGTATGAAAATTCAACAGAATGAAATATTTTAACAACCAATTATGACGTAGATTCTGCACATTTTAAACACATTTATATAAATTAAACATATTTATAACAATTGAGCGTTTTAAGAAAACTACCAAACGCTGTGAAAATAAGTGAAATCAAAGCTTATTTAATTTTCAACTTATTGCTTAATATGGTAGATAGAAACGTGTTAAAATAGTAAAACTACAATAGAAGTATATGACTCGGAAAAGGTGTAATAGGTTAAATGTATTAAGGTGTACAGGACCATAGAGCAATAAAATATTTCATTAATCTACGAGAGGCATTAATGCTATGTCATGCTGACTCCCGATAATACATGCTTACCAGAAACTTATTAATTATTTTTAATGTGAATGAACCTAGTAATGCTATGATGAATTTTCAGTTAAAAATCTCGTTTTCGTCCCAGATAATGGGCCCAACTTAAAGGAATGGCATCGGCATATGCCTTTAATACATCAATATACATTGTAAGTATATTAGATCATTTTTAATTTAAACAAGCTGACTCGGTGTTTACTTTCTGAACTAATTCTCCTTTATTACAATCAAATAAGCTTTTAGGTGCAAGTATTCGATTAATTGGTACTGAAACTATTTAATATTCCACACTGGTGTTTCGTAATGTTAGAATATTTCTCTGATTAATAAAAAGTTGTATAAAACTGTACGTTGTGTGGTTGTTTCAGAAATACTCAACCTTAGGGTACTTAAATCTGGCATACCTGTTTTGTTTATGTTATTTATTAATTCGTTTCTTTGTTAACTTGTAGTAATTTAGTATTAATGTTCATAAAACAAAACACAAGTTAACAATTTAATTTGAAAAATAAATCTTCCATAGAACAAAATTGTCTGTAATATATTTTGTTTGAAAAATGAAATTTACTTAAAGGCACATTATGCCTCAGAAACCAATCTATTTGTTACCTCTTTCACTCCTTTAGAAAGGGTAAACATGCATTTAAATTTAATAGCGTTTAAATAGTGGTTTAAGAGCATGTTAGATGCTTGTTACATGAAGAAAGTAGTGCTAAGCGTGAAATTATTTGTAGTAAAGTAGCAAAATGAAAGAAAGAAAGAAAGAAAAGAAAGAAAGAAAGAAAGAAAGAAAGAAAGAAAGAAAGAAAGAAAGAAAAGAAAGAAAGGAAAAAAGAAAGAAGAAATAAAGAATCAGCAAATTTAAAACGACGTTTCGTACACATTTTAAAATGAAATCTAAACCGTCAAAACAAAACTTTAAAAGCAAATTACAAGTACGTTGATTTGAACTGATTAACTGTCATCTTATCCATTGGTCATTCCTTCATCGTAGGTAAGTGACTTACCTTACATAGATGGAGTGTTTTACAAGTGTCAGGTCATTAGTAGACACACGTAAAGTGGTCATTTTGTCGAGTGTTGACACCGACCACATCAAGATACGCCCGATAGTGTCACAAGTCAATACACCCCCACGGCGGTTAGATATCCCGACAATAAGTCAACGATTTACACAAATATAAATGACCTTAAATAAATCAGGTTCTTTCAATTCGAAAGAACTTGAAAATATCTAACGAGCAGAAAACCTGACTGCTGATGATTGCATACATCTAGAGACGGTGCTAGGGGGGGGGAGATCTTGCCCTATTTAATACCAGTGAGATAGAACAAAAAGTTTCATAATTGACAATTATTGGTTTTGGGTTTTATTACTCTCGAGTGATCTCCCCGTCCATGGATTTATATTACAGTATGTACCGTTGTCCATCTTGATTCAGGTACTTAGAACAATTAATTAAGAACGAATAATTTGTTATATGTAATAACTGTTTTTTTTAACTTATTAGTTCTTCCTTTTGCCGACAACCTAAACTTACCTTTTCCATTATTTATATGCTTCAGAAATCTTCCCAGTTCTGGTATATCTTCTGTCAGAGCGACCATTCCATGGAATAACTCAAAAGTTTCTACCAATTATACATTTATATAATCCATGGCAAAAAATAACTATGGCCATTTGACAAACTTTATCGTATAAATTTTAATGTTTTCGTTTTTTTAATGTTGCATTTATGTCTCTCATCTCTAGTGAATTTTAAGAGCACATGTTTTTGTCATAGTTATTTTAATTATCTAATATAAAGATATTGATCAGTCTCGTGCGCACGTGATTTTATCATCAATTGTTATGACAGCGTCAATATCCGTCGTCTGTCGAAATTAGATTTTATTAAAATTATCAATTAAGTAGTAGTTAACCGTCATTTAATGTAATTAAAGGCTAAATGTGATATTTTATAACTTGATAGTAAAATTTTGTAGCGCTACAGCTCAGATTTGACATAAACTTTCACTGACAAGATTCCAATCCATTTTAATAATTTTATTTCCATTTTGATATTTTTGCTTATATCATCAGTTGATAAAATCATCTCCCACTTATATACCATTTGAAACTATCCTTCACGTACATTTTAGAACTATCCCTCTTAACTATCCCAACTATCCCCTATTTTTTCTGCCTTACTTACATCTATTTTTAAATAATTTTGACTATCCCAGATTACATGATCTAAAACAATCCCTTAATTTACGGTACCTACCACGATTTTATTACATATTTTGTACATTTAAAAAGTTTTTCCGTCTGTTGAAATTTGATGTTCTATTAGAAACATTCAAAAATCCATATATTGTTCTGAAGACGTTTTTTCTTTCCTTTTTTCCCTTTCAATTTTATACAGACGTTAATTGCATTAGAAAGTTAATTACAGAATTCAATTTTAAAAGTTACATGAAGAAGAATACGTGACTTTATATGTAGTATCATCCGACCCAGTTGAAATAGTATTTAGTTCGAATGTACTTGACAGAAGCAAGGTTTGACTCCAACATGTCTACTGCAATTATATATCAGTATAATAAATGTTATTTTTGAAACAGATAATTAACATAGGAAAAATAGGACAGCTTGCTTTTAACCAAATTTTACCATACAAGAAAGTCCTGATGTATTCAAACTATTTCTACTTCATTTGAAAATAGTCTGGTGTTCTTGTATTAGATATGTTTTTTCGGCTCCTACTTTCCTCTTATGAGCATATATAACTTATGTACATATTGACTTTACTGCAATACCAGAACGTACGAAATAATCGTGCTGTTTTTAAATCCGAGTTCTATACATTTCAAATTACAGCATGACTTCCGGTCCGCCAGCTTAAACTATGATGTAACGTGTCCGCATTAAAACCTTTTCTTCACCGTACATAATTATAGTTTTTGACTTTGATTTTCTATTTAATCGAAAGCATGCTGATCCGAACATTGATGCAAAAATCACGTGATACTAAAATATTATTGCTGAAAACGTTTATTTTCACTATGATCGCCAGACTTAATTAGAAACAAAACATAACCTTAGATTACTTCCGATGACTGTGCAATAGATGAACTTTCTTCGCGATAAACCACAAAGTGTAAGTGGTGACTGAAAAATGCATTTCAAGTGTGCCTGCATAATCAATTGACGAAATAAGTGGCGAATTTGTCACCATACTCCACGTGAAACCGTTCTCCCGATTGTTTATACGCGGACTGTACTTATTACCATTCTATTTTCTTATTTTTTAATTATAAGGAGATAGCGTATCAGTCAACATGGAAATATTTGAGGAAATTAACATATTTCGTTTCGGTGAACATGTAATATGGAATATTATAATGTAGAGAATGCAGTGATTGAGATTTAAGCCCGTCCAATTTCCACTTGATTAGAAATTCACACCGTTCATTCAGTGACTATTTGGAGCTAGAAAATCGTGTTTTCGGCTCCATCAGAGCGAAATAATAATGGATTAAGATTTTGTTAAAGGTTTGATACCAAACCATTCGAGGTGTGACCAGCCAAAAGAACTTCTTTTTTGCCAATGAATAGGTTTAATTTGTGCACATCCAGGTTTAAGTTTTGATATTTTTAGATTTTTTCCATTCTGTTTTTTTTTCTTTTCAGTGTTAAAGTTTTTTAACTTTAAACTCGGGATATATAAAGACTACATAAAGCTGTTAAATGTCTAGTTATAATTATTCAATCAATTTTCTTATTTACATTAAATTTTATGAATAAGAAAGGGGTGGAAATCCGTTTTAAAATCGTAATATGCGTGTGTTTTTTTTTCTCTCTTCTTTTTCATACTTGCCTCTCTTACATCGAATACTAGTGGTTATATGTTAATAGAAAATTGAAAAAAGAAAATGAACATCGCATTGATACCGCTTTAATAGGTAATAATACAATTGCGGTGAGATAAAACGCGCAAATGATTGAAGTTAAAACTCCCACAATGTGAGTAACAGACATTTATAACCGCTGTTATAAAATGATGGAATAATTAGCTTACGGTGTAGACAGCGCATAGTTTGGGGTGAAAACAAATATATGACTTATCGCAGAAAAATTGAGTGATTTAGCAAAAACTATTTTCATTAATGACTGTAAATGTGTTTACTTCTCGGTACAAATGAATAATTTATATCTGTATTTATAACAGTGTTTCTTCAAGTGCGTTACTTATTGTTTTGATTTTCTTCTAACATCAGAGACAGTGGGATTTAACGACAACAACAATAACAACAACAAAGGGGACACAATACATGTTATATGTGAAGATAGAGGAGACTTCACGACGTGAGAGTTATATTGGTATGCTGATTCATTGTTTAGGTAAAATTGACATGTTTAACTTTTTTACCTTTTCCTCTCGTCTGCTATAAATCGGTTATATCGAGACATTCACAAGTTGTATAAATTTACTTTGCAATTCAAATTTTCCAAATGTCGAAAGAGGTTAGTTTTTGAGAAAAATAAACTTTTTTTGTACCTTAAGCTGTAATTTATATCTTTTTTTTCTTTTTTTTTCTTTTCTTTTTTTGGGAGAAAAAAAAATGACTTTTTTCGCTAAATAATGATCATCTTTGCAGAAAGGAAATTGACTTTTCATCGGCTGATAATTTGTTTAAATATAAGTTATCTATTTGATTAATTACCAATAAATATATATTCTGACACTGACGATGTTATAGAACACCAGTAAGATAACATAAGTAATGTACATATAGTTAAATAATTATCACACAAAATTAATTTAATTCGAAAACAAAATATAAACCAAAATAATCCACAATTACAAATAACAAATTTTTTTTTAATATAATCTCGTGAAATGAAATAGCGTAAAACGTTTGGAATTTTATTTCAGTAAATTTCTACTTTTATCATTAAAATGAAATTAATCGCATACAAAAATAAATTGATAACCTGGCATAAACGATTTTTTTCATTTACCTGTATTTATGTCATTGTTAAACCCGGTTCTATTTGATCTGGCTTAAATCTGCAGTCATTCTATTATAATAGCGTAATTACAAAGTGTTGTCATTTTCAAGTTCCCGTGAATAGAAAATTGTAATTGAATCTTTCTTATCAGCATTTTTATCTGTACATTTTATAATCATATTCTGTTGCTCGTTAACACATATTTTGTAGGGTACGAAATAGTGATGGTGCGATAAGATATTGTCGCGCACTCACCGCGGGTGATTGCTAAAACCGTTTTCAATGGGACTGACCTCGCGTTAACACCATCGACACCATAAAATTATTTTAATATTCGAGAGACGCTCTCCTGGGGTAACCTAATGTACATGTCGATGCTCTTTAAATGTGATCTCTGTATTTTAATATCACATTTTTATTATTAAAAAGTAAAGGACATTATGGAAATATTAAAAAATGTTGACATACCGACAGGTTGAATTATTAAAGATGAAAAAAGGATATATAACAGGTTTGTAACTAATGTGAATCTTTTTTTTTTCAGTTATAGATTAGTTCAACTTCAATATTTCACGATGCATACAGTTTACGTGAAGTTTTACCAGGGACTTCAGACCGAATAGAAACATAAATGTAAAATAATGAACTTTTTGAGGCTATAATTATTTTCTTTCTAGATCTAAGACCAAAGTATGATGTTATTTTTAATAATTAAAAAAATTAGATTGTTTAATTATTAAGAAGATTTCAGCCGGTATTTTAAGGCGTGTATATATTGTCTCGTTAACCTGTCTGGAGACGTCCCTGTCTTGCTTCCCCGTAGATTCACATCATGATCCGTCAACTAAACTAACCTTTGAAGACCCTTGGTACCTTTGCCAAACCCCGAGAGGCAAAGGTTATCCGATCATTTGTAGATATACAACAAAACATTAATGTTAAAGACAAAAATTATCAACCATTTAAATCAATACATACTAATTTTGTTTAAGGGATTGACAAAACTATGTACAAGCTAATTAATACGTATTCATTCTAAATTCCTGTAACAATGGGATTATTTTATAAAGACGGATCGACAGATAACGTCTATTATATATCAAAGCGCCTTGTTAACAAACACGATTTAAATTCCGTCCCTGGTTTTCAATAATCGGTGGTTTTCATTCATAAATTGCACGCTACTTCAAAAGAAAAAAGTTATTTCATGACCCCAGTTATGTTGATTTATTGTTGTCTGGCCTGTTTAGACCAAGTATTTCTTTGACAATATCGAACTAATTCAGTTTTATCTTTCATTTCACGATATATACCCACTCATGATTCTCTAATATTTTCTTAAATGGTGTATTCAGATGTTATAGGTAAGATTTAAACTGAATGAATTATATTTCTCTTAACCGTTCAAGATTGTTTTTGCTCGTATAATAATCATATAAAATGAACCGTTCATAAAACATATACTATATGTAAATCTAAATGTATTCGTTGACAGGCTGAATGATTTCAATTTTTACCTATCTAACACTTTTACATTATTAACACATACGAGTTGTAAATATATTTGACGTGAAAATTTACCTCACTCAGCGTGACATTTTTCGGTTTATATCTGTGGAACATAGAATAATCTTGTATCTCCGTTCTGCGAACAGTAGGATAAAATATATGAAAGAAAATTATGATCAATTGTAACCGCTACTTGTCACAACCAATCAGATTCAAGCTTTCATCACGCTTCGATATGCTGTTCGCGCGAGAGAAATTCAATCAATCACAGTACTCCTAACATTGTGCAGGGATAGAGTGAAAGTTTTAGTAAAGATTCTGTTAAGTTAATATAGTTTTCTGTAAAAATCATTTTGCAACATACCAGAAAACGGAATCTACGTTGGACTCTAAATATTGCTAACAGGCGTTGTGTCAATTAAGTGAATAAGGCTTATAAAGTAAAAAAAAAAATAAGAAGAGAGAATATGCTTCAATCTAATAAACACATGTTTCGTTACATTTGCGGTTATTCGGGTTCTACTGTATAATACGGTTGAAAATGATTTCTAAATATTTTTATTTTCAGAATCATTATTTGTGAAGAGTGCTTAGTGAAAGTGAAATAATTTGGATTGAGTTGTTGCTGCGAATAAGAAAAAAGAGTTCATACAAACGAAACTTCAACAGAAAATACACTGTAGACACTACGGGATTTTTTTTTTGCGATTTTTTTGGTCGCAAAACGCTTAATATACTGACTGTGTTTAAATAGAACGAGATAAGAGGGGATCTCAAAATAAAGTTAAAATAAAAAAAAAAGTGAAAAGTGAATCTTTGTGGATTTAAAAGTGATATGCTATAATGGCGAGAGTGAATTATTGGTGGAATTTATTTACAAAATTGACTATATTTTGGATACATGCTCGAACTGTCGGTGCGTTCAATGAAATATGGTGGTAAGTAGATTAACAATAGATAGATAAATTGAATCATCAGATTTTATGTAAAACACTTATCTATAGCTTAAGTACTGCTTTACAGAAAGAATGTCAATATTTTTGCTTTTGTAAAAGTACCTCTTTCATTTAGTATGAACACGTTTTCAATAATTATTCTATTTAACAATACACGACATATTATTCTATGATTTTAACATTCCCGATTTTTTAAACATTTAAACATGGTTTTGATTTTTTGACACCTATTGTTTACGAGAATTTTTATTAAATATTCCTGTATACTGGTCAATGATTGAAACAGCGGGTCATGTTTGAACGATCATTTTAATGTTTGACAATGTACCTAGTACGGATAGAAAAGCCGATTATTTATTTATACACAAAAGTTATCATTAATATGACTGTCATTAAGTTAATTTAATTTGGATACAATATTTATCTCAAGTGTACCTTGCATTGTAGCAGAACCATTTTTTGCATTCTTTAAGAGAGAAAATTACAAAACAATCTGTTATGAAAACAGTTATTTATACAAACATTGCTGGCTCTAGTACTTTACCCTTAACCAATTCATATGCCAGTATGACCGTTTTCATTAGAACTCACACATCACATGGGGGACATATTAAACTTTCTGGAAAAAAAAACAATGCAGGTAAATCAGTGAAACTAGATATTTAATATGTATAGTTTACAAGTTATATAAGAATTAGCAGGTGAGAGTTTATGTTGAAATATACTCTTAAACAATGAAGTTTTAGTGGTAATAATAGTTGACATTTACTGTTAAAAGATATTTGTTAATTGCTCCTATTTATAATAAATGATGATAACAAATGCGATGAAGCCATCGCAATAATTGAGAAAGATGAATGCATTTAAAAGCAGCATAATTGTAACAAACTTTAAAGCATTTTTTCTGGAAGAACATTGTAGATGCCTAATGTCTGGTAACATGTATGGTTAGAGATCACACATTGCAATAGTATTATCAGTGATTTTAAATTAAAGTCACACAATATGAAATGTTTTTATGTTAAACTTAACAGAAAACAGAAAAGTGTATGTTACTGAATTTATTAACTGATGTTATATTGTTATAGATGTACCTTTTTTTATTCATAGAATATTTAGAACTATAAATAAGTGAGTTTTGAACCTTATATCAATTAGGTACAATAGCTTGTTCATTTTTTCACCACTTTTAAATAATGTTGATTTTTCTCAACATTTGATTTAGTGTACTTTTCTAAAATAATGTAAACATAAAATAATCTAGAGTTTGACATTAAGAAACAAAAGGACCATTTTAATTAATCCATAACAACAATTTTCAATTAAATCGAGTGATATATGATAAATGCAAGTGGCATCCTTAAACAACTATAGTAAACACTTCAACTCTTAAACATCAATTACAAACACTTTAAATATCTACACAAACACTTTGAAAACAAGTGCCCTCTTTAACCACCAACTCATCTCTCTCGTTGTTTTCTCTGCCTGTATTTTATATCTGAAATTTTAAAACATACTCCCTTTGAAAAATGCGTTGATAAAACAATGCCAAACATGTTCAGGTTTTTCTGACGTTCAAATTATTAACTGATATGAAGTATTTCTGCTTCCCTGCTCAAAACATACCATCTTCCATTCTAGCCCCTGCATTAAAACAACGGAGAAAAGACAATTTACGAGTGTGTACCATACCCCGTATATCAGATAGCCTCGTTATTATAGCCTATTACATCAATCAATATTTTGTTAGTATCAATTTTCACTGTAACTCTGTTACATAGTCCGCAAGTTCTTCTTTTAGTTCCATTTAATTAAATATTGATGCTTATTTATCATCCAATCGGCCCTAGACTTCTAGCAAGGCTCACTTGCCACATTATACAATTTCCAAGAATCAGTGGCGCGTGCGCGTTTCTGCAGCGCTAAAAACTGTTCTCTCGTTATTTACGGAAATGTCTTGATCATGTTCCGTATAAAGAAGGTAGGGGGTACAACGTGAAATAATGAGGCTGATTTTTTTTCTAATCTGAAATATAATTTTTATGTCAGGTTTTGTCATTATTAACACAACACCCGGGGTATATCACTTTCTAATCACCAGGGACGCGTCAGTTTCTATTGGAACATGAAATACTGGAACTGCTGAAACTCACATCTCGTTATTCTAAACCTTACAGCTGACATCACGTCACTAGAAATATTTCTAACACTGCAAAACATGCATATTCTTTGTTTTCATAATCTCGTCTTAGAAAAAAAAACTTACTCGATTTAATTAGAGTTCTGAAGTTAGTCATGAAATATTGATGTCAAGGTTTAGTATGCTTTTAGACTGTATTTAATTTTGATGTTGCCTTTGTATTTAATAATAATACGCATGTAAATTTCTTTTTACAGTTTTATGTCCCAAATCATCCTGATATAAACTTCAAACTTAGATATGAATATTGATTTCATAATTGCTACCAAATTTCTTTTTCGCATGTTTTAGAAATGTTAAAATGTACTTTTTAATTTCTACCAAACATTTACATATAAAGCAATTTTTTAACCTTTATACTTGTACAGAAGCACACTTTATGTCAGAGTTGTATTTCAACAACCAAATAAATTGATTTGAAAGTAATACTTATAATATAAAAAATATAGAGGTGTTTGCACTATATGCCCTATACCAGGCGTCATGATTGATATGTTATCTGTATTCTCACTAAAAACTTAGTCAGTTTTATGTACTTCATACCTTTTATGTTTAGAAAACAATGAGAGTCCACAATTACATCAACACTTTTTAAAGAAAATATAAACCACTCAAAAAATACCAAGGGGGTGATAGTTTAAGATGAACAAGCAAAATGGTCATAGAGTTACTCATGAAGGATGAATGAAAACAAAGGTTGTGATTTAACTATGATACACTAGATAATTTAAATTTATTCAGATTTACATGACACAATAAAAATGTTAATAAGACGAGATAGGGCTGACATTCCTGTCAACATATTATTACAACAATCAAGCGTCCCAGTCACTATGATTGTTACACCGATACTTTCACAATCAACATATTTATAAGTGCGTCCTTTTCTTATATAACTGTCTTGTGCTTTCATACTTGGCCGTAATAAACCTTCAAATATGTATAAATAAATTTTAGTAAGTATGTTTTCTATCTCTGAAATAACCAGTGTTAATTCTTTGTTTGACCGGTATAAAATAAAAACGCTTTTGGTCATATGTTTCCGACCTGACAAAATTCGCATCATAATGACCTAGAAGACACGAGATGGTGTAAGATGCCTGCTGTGTTATTATCATCGTCAAATAGTTTTGTCTAATATACCATATAAAAATATTTCCTTATATACCATACACGGACACGCGCAGACAGTAAGCTTGTATGTGTGTGGTCACTTAGTTGATTTAGGCAGCAAAAATCCAACAATTCTGCTCAATAAAGAAAGGTTTTCATAAAAAATATTTGACATATTTTAGAAACTCCCAGTAAACATGTAACGGTTTCTGTAATCCATAAAAATAATCTTTAACGATGGGTTTTAAATCATATATTATATCAGCGTAAGCTAGCCAAATCAAATTCTACCGATATTAATATTTTTTTCATTAAAAATAACAAATTCATTCCAAATGTGACAAAAGTAAATGTTTCTGAAAATATATCATTTAAGAGTTACTTTTCACTATGTATGTATAATGTAAATATTAATGTGTATATTATACATCAGTATACTACCCTAAGTAAATTAACACAAGTCATTAAAAATTCACGCTTATTTATATAACTTGTAACATTATATCCACATCAAACCTTCTTTTGATTAAATCTGTCTTAAAGTCTGTTTACATTTCATACAAATCATAAATACAAATAGACAAAATTGATATCTCATTTAAGTACACGTTTTTATAAATATATAAAAAGTATCATTTTTTGTGTATTTTTTCTCCCACGAACTGAAAAACAAACACTTGAATGAAAATAAGAAATCTATATCAGAGAGTCGATGAACTAGCTTGACGTTTATAATCAAACTATCTATTTCAAACGATATGTTTTATTTTCATGGTCTGCTCTTATATTCTAGCTCACACTTCATTACACTTGTCCCCTAACATCAATACGCTCATGTTTCAACTATTGCCATGTTTGTAACTGTAAGCGGAGCTATCTCGCAATATAAACCTCGCTGTTAAACACCCGGGCATTGACAACTATCTGTCAGCGTATTTGCAATATATTTTGCCTTCTGACCTTACCAAATACATGATCAGTTAAATCATTAAGCGAATCAGCTAGGCATATTTGAACAACTCCGTCTAATTGAAACTCGGCTGACAGATATTCCTTGTGATATAAATGTAAATGATAAATGCATAACTCTACTTGTCCTTTTGTATTGAATGAAAAGAAACATTATTGCAATTTGTTTTGCCATCTACAGATTTAGAAAATAACGCTAGAAAGTTGACGAAAACTTTTTTTGAACACATGCAGTATTTCTTTCTTTTTTGTTGAAATTCAATGTTCGTTCGTAAAAATTCGAGAATTTGTACTGCTGAGAAGCAAACCATTTTATTAAGTATGAAGTGATGGAAAGAGAGTCCGAAACTAGTCATAGTACGGGCGTTGTAAGGAAATAATAATCGTTAAAATAAATGGAAAAAAGTCTGACGCTAGGTTTTAATTGAACCTTTTTTTACAGACTTTACTGGTGTGCTACCGTTCAAGATCCTACCACTAGCTCAAGCAAAATCATTGGTTCATTGGTTCAAATGGTCAAAGGATTATTCAATTACCATTCAAAGAAGTCTTGAGTATTTGTAATTACAAAAGTGGGGACATAAACAATGAATGTAATGAATAGCCCTCTAGAACAATATATAAATAGCAGAGACAAATAAATATTGGAAATTGCTACATAGTTTCTACAACAATGTATTACAGTCGACTTTCTTAGAGGCTTATGTCGTATATATGTCAATAGAGCCTGGGTTTATGTCTTTAAAATAGAAGACAAAGGTTCGTCAAATTAGCTTTGATTAATTTATTTAAACACAACTTAATAAAACGATTCTCTCACCAATCGACATGGTATTTTTTTTTCAAACAAAGTACAAACATTTAACACATGATTCAAAAGCAAAGACAACTTCATTATGCAAATTTTTCTCAGGAAGTAAAAGCATCTTCAAATGTATTCTTTGCATTTGCTTTAAAAAAAGGTAAATATAAACAATTTTACAAAGTTTTGTTTGTCTTTAGAATCATTTGTAAACACTGCGTCTGCGTTTACAACCGTGGTAAAGAATATCTGACAGAATCAACTTGGAGAAGGTTTGGCCTCGATATTTTGTTTGCGATTAGATAGTTTGATGGTTTAATCATTGTATTAGAAGGATATGATGGTACTAGAACAGTGGAGCACAATGTTTCTGTTTAGGAACTGGGTTAAAACTCTCAGACAGTTTCAATAAAACTTTCAATAATTTCTCTCTCGAGCTAATTTTCGTTTTTTTGTTTCCCACTTAACAATGTTTGAATTCCTCTAGAATATAAGAAAGAAAAGTAAGTGTTTGGGTAATTATTGAAATGGAAAGAGAAGTTGATACTTTCTATATACATATGGAAATTCAGAATACATGTATAAAGTTAGCAGTGGCCCTTTTAAAATAAATCAGCAATGACTTTTTTTAACTTTCAATTTTAAGCAAGTATGAAGAAGATGATGTAATTAATAAAATACATGACAAGATTTTCAGTTAAACTGTTAATAAAGTACAATTTTTAATCACACATTTATGTATTCATTCTAGACCTCTGCCAGATAAATAAAAGTTGAAAAAATATATCAAAATCTAACCATAGCAAGTAGTAGTGCAATAATCTGAGTCAAGTATATTTTATCTTTAATTTTTTCTAAAATTTTCTTACATTTTTTTAAAAGATGTGTCGATTTTTCTTTCAATTTTAGTGTATAAAATATTTAAACATGTATAGATTTTTAGACCAAGACATAAGTAGACTCTTTACATGGTGATAGGGAGGACCTGTCTAGTGTAAACTGCGTGTAAATATCATACAAACTGTCCTGCATTCCATTAAATTAATTCATACAAAAATGCCAAAATTTGAAAACATTCGACAAAAGCAAGCTAATAAGAGGCATTAGAAACACGAACCATTCATAAAGTGTCTAAATAAATCAATCAGAGGGTTCAAGACACGAGAGAAATATCTCTATCCCCAATCTAAACTCGAATTTTTATGAGTTCAAGTGCTAAATGGTATCAGGTTTTTAAATAGAGATATCATTGTGTTGCCTATATCTTTTATAAATCTAAAAACTAATTTATTATCAACCCCAGAATATATTATATATAAAAAAATCCAATTAGAGTAAAGGTTAGTTAGATATCACTGCATGGGGTCAAAAGAGAAAATGAAGTATAGTTTGTAATATATACAACAACTACGTGGTAAATAATTATGTATACGATTGACACAGGTACCGTATTGAAGGTGCACATTACAGAGTAAACAAACAATTTAGTCACAATTAAATATCCTAGCCCCATAATGCACAGGGCAAATATTGGTATTTCTTAAATCGTTAAAAGATGACTTTCAAAATGTCAGTGTCGGATTAATGGGATTTTCGGGTATTATAATGAAAGCCCTCTCGAACATACCTAGTATCCTGGACATTTAGATAGTAGAAATACACCGGCAAAAATTCCTCTGATTAAATAAATAATTCGTAAAAATGTGTGTCACTGTGTTCTTGTGACATTTCAAATCTTCAAGATGTCATGCCAGTCATGTATTGATTTTTAATTCAACTACGTAAAAGTTGAAAAGTTGACGATGGTTAAAATCCGCTAAATTTGAAATATGACAAAAACTATGAAAAAAGCTGATTTGCCCTGATCTTCCACTAGATTAGGGTATTTACGATATCGATACAAGGTCTGTTCTACAGATAATCGGCAGACAGTGTTAAAATATTTGATCATTTTTTTATATATATTTATTGTACGCTTAACATTAGACAGACCAAAATCTATCAATTTAATCAGATAAACTATCAAAAAATATTTGATGAAATAAGGATGTTGCCCTTATAATTGAAATAAACCTGTTCACGCATTCACTTTAAAGTAACATAACACATTTATACTAAAATACTCGCATATAATCGGGAAACAAAATCTTACAATTTTATGTGCTAATTTCCTCATGAAAAGAAAACAAAATCGACTTTTTAACTAAGAAATATCTAAGTGTTCTATGGCATTTATACATGTTCCCGGATCTGTTCCGTTTTCTTTGAACGTGAATATAATATAAAGGCTGCCGGTGCAAGGGGTGTGGACGGTAGCTTGCAATTACCACTACTGTCCATGAACAGGCTCAATAAAACCGAGCCTGCAATATTTTCAATTTTTCAGTGTTGGACTTTCTTTACGGATTCTGTAAAGTAAAAATATAAAACGATGTACATGTATCATGTTCTACAATATTTATATGTCAGCAATCTTGCTCATTACAAGATGTAAACACACATAAAAAGAAATGTTTAACGTTACATAAATTTTCAGTAGAATTGTCATTTTGTAAGATAATTCGTGCACCAAACATGTGATTTTCACATTCCAAAGTTTTCAAATAAATTGTGTAATAAAGGTTTATTATGGGTACATTAACGCTGTATCTATCCTTTTGTATTTATCAGGTTTGTCGCATCGCGAGTTTTATGAGCCTCGAAAAATGTATTAACACTTGTACATGTATGTTTTTCAGTTCAAAATTGTCTGTTTTAAACGAAACGTTTCGGTTTTTAAGTTCATAAAAAATATAATAATTCACAATGACTTGGTTGATTTTAGTGAATTAAAAATTCCTGTCAGTTTTCACCAGTTTCAACTCCTGTTTACAGATTTCAACTTGAATGAAGCCCAAAAGGGTTTAACAAAAGTAGGTTTTATAAGATTTACATGTGATATATTAAAGTTACACCTAATAGGAAAGAAAATCCTACACATTACGACAATAAGAATAATCGGAAGATATAAATTAAAAGAATAAATAGAATAAATTTCACACTTTGCTCTCGATGGACGTTCCTTTGTCCATATTTTAACCTTTGCTCAGTTTGTAAAATGGATTTGTCCTGCATTGTCCTGCATTGTATTCTGCACAATGCATATTTATCTAAATACAAAAGTTGAGCTACCAACTGTGTAAATCCTAGTCATATTACACGGATGTATATACAAGCCTGGTTCTAAACTGTTGACAAAGGCAAATCACTTTCAGTTCCTACAAGTTAATGGCTTAGGTCCCACAAAGTTGTATTTTACTTGCTGTGTACTGGGTCTCCATCCTTTACCGAATAACAATATATCCACTTGGTTGACTTGGTCTTCTAGAAGTTGTTTGCATTATCTCTTTAATATTTTGTGCATGTTTCGCAAAATGTAAGGAGAAATTAACAAAATTTCAAACAGTGATAGTTAAAGCTGATACAGACACAGTCAAATATTACAAAGACATACATGATAAAATAGATACAAGACATTGTCACCCGGAAATGATTTAAGCGACTCCCCTAAATACAGATCATCAAAATAATGTCAATATTATCTCTAAGTAACAAATAAAGGATATTCAAGACAAAAACTTGCGTATCCTAACAGAGGGTTTTATAACAATATTGAAGGACAACAGTGACAAAAAGTTTAGTACATCACACAATAGTTAGTTTTATATATAATTTAGTCTGCTCAAGTGAATTATAAGGTATTCTCATATAAAGAACATGTGACATTCCAAAAATTGAAAATACAAGTATAATTATCATCATTACAAATACACAAAATACATAAAGACAAATCAGATGAAGTTGATGAAATATTGCATGTTGGCGGCCAACTAGAAAATACCATTCTGTGGAATGTAAAATCCCATCTACAGACCTATATGCAGACTCAAGAACAGATGAAGTCTGAGAGTAAACTTGATTAGAATAGACGAAGTTAGTTTAGTTTCTGTAAATGTATACGATACCCACCAGCAAGTTTGCCAGAAAGTATTTATAAATCCAGACACACAGCAATGGCAATATATGTCTATGAAAAGCACATAAACGCCGGATTGAGCACGGCATCATTGTTCCGCGAGGTCTACTTGATTGGATTTACTGCATTTTGTTCGGTTAGACAGGAGAACTGTTCCAAAATTCATCATGTCAAATGTCTTATTAATTATTTCACAGGTGGTTGGAGGGAAAGTTTCGTAGACTGACACTGTCGAAGAATGTAAAATACGTTTATCATAATAATGTATTGAAGACATGTGGGGAAATATAAATTACTTATATTACTTGGCGGTGTTGGTTTTGCTTCTTTTTCAATTATTCAACCATAGGAACCAGGAATCGTGATATTCCAGATCACTAAAGTATTAGTATTTACATACACACAAGTTATAACAGCTCTTGCTTAAATATTTAATACAGTTTTCTGTAAAATGTAAACAAGAAATTATGCGTAATCTGAATTTAATTTTTTCTTTTATATGGAAAACCTGTAGCCCTCCCTAATCCCCCAATGTCAAAACTAAGTGAAACAAATGGTGGCAAGGAGCTAAGAAAAAATACATCAAACTGGTATTTACGATTGCTATGTAAAAGATTTCCTATGTTTCCAGTTTTGTTTGATTAATTAATTGTATTACTTATATTAATATGAGATTTCTTTGTTTGCAGGAATTTAGGGATGTCGGGACTAGACGCTTTACAAAATCCAAATTTATATATAGTGGGAACCAAAACTATGTGTATTCAACTTAAAGGATTGTCACTTGGACAACAGAAACTATGTGGTATATATAGTGACCATATGCCCAGTATCGGGGGCGGAGCCCAAATGGGCATCAGAGAGTGTCAGTACCAGTTCAGATTCCGGCGGTGGAATTGTACTACTATAAAAGGAGATTCATCCGTTTTTGGTCCAGTTTTACAAATAGGTTTGTATTCATCTTCTAGTTTTTGCTCTGAATTGATATGAAACTAATTATAATATGAGTTTAGGCTAAATACCGCTTAAGCGGTGCCGGGGAGGGGGCGTAAGGGATGTTGCCTCTTCCATAATTTTCTCATGAACAGATTCAATCAAATCGAGTCTGCAATTTTCACCTTTATTGATCATGAGGGATTTCCCTTTCCCTTTTCAAGATTATAAGCACCTGCCGCCATCTGGCACATGTTGCTTTTTGTTTAGAATTGCTCGCAATTTATGATTCTTTATTAAGGCAAGATAATTTTTCAAAAATGATTTTTTTCCAGAAATGTTAATTGTTTTGTAGACAATCAATTTGTTATTTGTTACATTATTATAGCAAGGGAAATCATCTTGTTTCTGTTATCTTCACATATAGCGTTCTAGCAATTTATCTTAACTATAGATATATATCATTGCTTTAACTGTTTCATTACGTTTGTTTCAAACTTTACGTTTTATTCTGATCATAATACAACGTTATGTAAACAATTGCATTTTTAAAACCAGTGAAAAGTTTAGACTTCAAAGCTTGCCAGTAAACACACGTGTTTGTATATATGATGCATATTTCTATGCACATTAATTCCGTGATTGTATATAAAAACAGCAAACTGCAGTTTTAACAAATTTACAACATGTGAAATTCGGCAGTCCTGTCTTATTTTAAGGTAGAGTTACATATGATAGCAACAAGTGAACAGTTGAGTGACTGATATAACCTGTTTTATAGAGATGGTAGCTCATTTACACGACGATTTGTAAAACTGTCAGATATATATCTCCCCCTATCTTTTTACTGTATGACTTTCAAATCCCCCTGTCGATAAGACCACGTTACAACATTTTGGCAGATTTGTTCTCAAAAGCACAGTTAATTTAAAAGTCATTAAAAATCTATTACATGGCATGGTGAATTAGAGCAGTATATTTGCCTTTAATAATTAATCTTGCGACCGAATACCTAAAATAACGTGAAAGAATCCATTAGAATTGTACTTTGGATGCAACTTTAGTATCAAATTTTTCCACACAAAAAAATGTTACCGAAGTTGAAATGGCATATCATAGAGTTCAACATGCACTTGTTGCAATATTTGGTGAGTTTCGATTAGACATACACCAACCGCTATATGTTATTATTATAAATGATTGATTATAATTTGACACTTTGTAGTAAATACTGATTGAAAAAAAACAACGAAAAACCTTTTAATGACATTTCTTTTAACAATTACAAAAAAATATAATCATTAAGATAAATAATAAGACTTTATATAATAATTATTGTTATGACAAACATTTAATGAATTTTAACAATTGAATCGCATGGTGACTTTCGTCGATTCCTGAATAGAAGTTGGCCTGTAATGGGAACCCATGTTTGTCATTGTTCTTGTATTTATGTACAGTTCATCCAGCCGAACATAAACCCATTACTTCCTGAGACCGGAAGTGATTGGCCTTTGTCATCAGTGTAGTGCTAGGCTAGCCAGTAGGTCCGAGCAGTCCGACCAAACTCTGTTATGTCAATAGCTCATTTTTTTTTAATGATCGGAAAATTTATTAAAGTTTGAATGAAATTGTTCAAAATTCAGAAGCAGGAAAGATTTATTACATAACTTCAACAGGTTAACTATTAACTGGTGTTCCTTTAGTTGATCGTTTCTTCTCTCTGCGGGTATTTAACATCGGGTTTTGACACTATCTATTTCCAAAATAAAAAAAAAATATTATCTCACGGACGTCACTGATATGAGAAGTTATTTATTGTTATGACTCACAACGACTTTCAGGAAATGTTATTCCTTTTTTTCTTTTATTGAATCATTATCAGAATGAGTGTTTGTTTTCTTTAAAATAATCCCCACCTTTTTTATACCTCACCTTAAAAATTAAGACAATACGCATTGTTAAGACCAGCACATTCAAGCAATAACACTTGAGCACAGACAATTAGCTTTTGGCTCTGAAACGTTTGTTAAATGACTTGAGGAAGAAACAAATGCTTGGAAATCTTCACAAAGTAACGACTCTCCTTCTCTTTTATCGTCGCTCAATTCCTCCGAATATAACAAGAAACATATGGGATAATACAGAAGGAACCCGTTTCACCCTAATATCAAAACGTTTATTTTTGCCTCTTGTAAGTTTTATTGCAATTTTATATGCCTACCTGATATTACATTAATTACATACAATCACTAGATACAACTCCCTGTAAAAGACAAACATGTGTACTTAACTGTTTGCAATTCTAGAAATTTTCATCATTACTTGCAAAAGAATGCATGCAAATGTTGCTATTAACATTTTCATCTCTCATTTCAAACATTGTGCAATTATTTGCCCTTTGAACAGTTCTCGGCTTGCTAATATTAGTTTTTAAGTACTGGAGTATGAACAAGAGAGTATGATGATAAAATAATTGTAATGTATTCTTAAAGTAATTGTTCTTTCAAGCTATGACTTGCATTTATTCTTTGAAAATTTCCTTCCAGTGAACACAAATACGCTTGCTATTTTATATAAGATGCTCATAAACGCTTGCAATTTACAAGTTTTGTTTAAAAAAAGAGGAAAAAATGACGTCATTTAATTACATTTTTTTATATTTTTTATCGGAAGTGAATGCTTAATTAAGAATCAAAACGTTTTCAAACGAAAGTGATATCTAATGATTTACGCCCTATATGCAATAAATCTCGACTGTGTAAGTGGTGAAAAGGGGTAAAGTCGTAAAAGTGGCGCCTCGAGCAAGGTACGTGAGCATGTTTCACGTCCAACTAATGAAATTTGGACCACTGACACCACTCAAAATTTTATGTAGTTATTAAGAATGAAATGAGCGAGCAGGTTCAAGTGTGTATTAATTGACATTTTAACATTGAAAATCAAGAGAAATATTCACCATACATTACGGCACCACAAAAAATACCAAACGACAAAAACCAGATAGGTATAACATGAAAAAATAGTTCAGGTGTCTAGGTTTATCTAAAATACTTGATGCTCTGCGCAATAATACTCAATCGAGATAAATACTTTCATTATCCACCGTTAATGTCTTACGCTGATTTAAACTGAATTTTATAGTTCTCCGTAGTTTACTTTATCACGGCGTGTAGATTTGACGACTTGTGCCGAAAACCGTTCCCTGCCAATCTCGCGTCATCCCGTTGTCGGCTCGAGAAGTTTGGAGATTTATTCAACTCCCAGGAATTTTATAGCCGAAGCATTGAAGATGAGAACGATAACCCTATCAGTGTAACAACTTAAGGCTCTGCAAATATACTCTTGGTATTTCTGGTATTAATATTTCTTTAAGATGTATACCCTTATGATTGCAAGAAGAAAACGGTGATGTTGATTACATACTATGATAACACTGCACGGCTTCACTATAGTGAAATAAGGCTGCAAACAGGCAGATAAGCGTGCTGCAAGTCTAGTCGTTCTGCTAGACTGATTTGGCAGCTTAACTCTTGTCGAAGACTGATTACTACAGAATTAGACATCTCAAAAAATATTGTAAGACAGATTTACGGTACGATTATTGGTGAAGAAAAAAAAGAAGATATTTCTACACAGAAGTTAACTATCTTATTATTTGAAAGTGAAAAACGGATGTGGGGAACATATTTAAAGATGATTATATTATCACATTTAAAGCATCAGCAATGTGTGGCATAGTCTAAAAGTACCTGCTCAATCTTCGGGCAGTTAAGTATCTTTAGTTCTATTTTAATAAATATTACATGATCTAAAACATCTTGAAGCTTACATGAATTTATATAACAATTAAGCATGGGTCTTAATTAAGCTATTTGTGGTTGTTAAGAAGTCAAGAAAATATTTTTACGACATGTCTGGGCCAGCAGCCTTACCTAAACTTTACTTCTTTTTCAGTGACTACAATGAAATTCCTCCATTAAATGTCAGGTACTAAAAAATGAATCTGATCCCTAACTTCATAAAATAAAAACTTGTAATGATTTAAACCACATTGCAAGAATTATTTTAAGACTGTTTATAAAGAAATTTCTCTTAGAGTTCTCAATGGCGATTCTATATAAAACAGTCATATGAAAGTCTGAGTTTTATTTTTCAGTATCACGGGGTTTAAGGCTCTGTTTTACTTCTTCTGGGTGGTTAGATGAAAAATTCTAAAACGTTTTCTCTGAAATCACAAACACATTTGTTTACCACTCGCAACCTCACAAAACCTTTGCAATACTCTTTATTGATTACTTTGATTAATTAAATATAAATAAGTCAGGTTACACATTTGTACATGTATGTCTGTAAAATTGATATGGTTAAAAATATTTTTTACCATAAAGAAATGGTACCCATGTCCAGTTTTTAAAAACACTTTTTTCTTCAATAAACTTAAAAGTCTTAATACAATTTTTGCGTTTGAATACCTGGAATACTGTAACCTTGGTAATATTAACTCTAATGCTGAATTCGTCACATCAAACATTTGTATCATAACGCTTACCTACAGTTTTAACATTTAACATTTCAAATTATCTCTCATCTTTTGAATTTTCTAATTTGTTTTGTTAAAAATTCTTCTCAAGATTTGAGTAATAACATATTGGCAAGGTTAGAATACTGTGAAAGATGAATCGTGCCGCAATGAAGGTGTTGATACAATGTGTTTAGATCTACAAAATTATTCTTGTTTTGGAATTTAGAAAAGTAAAACATCTGCCCTGAAATTATCGAGACTAGGTGATAACAATTTGATATTTTCATATTTTTATTGCTGAAGATATTATCGTTGATGACAGCATCCAGCATGTTTTGATTTTCATTTTATTAAAAAAAAAAAGATTGAATTTTCTTGGGCGTATTTTCGAATAAATCTGTATCGGTTGGAAGGTACATCGGTAAAATCAGTATAATCATGATAACTTTAATGTTTAATCTGAATGTAACACGGTACCATACAATCACTTGTTTACACCTTACAATATAGATATATATATATATGATATAGAGGGAGGGAAAAAAAGCTGTACAAACATAAGTATTACATTAAAATGTGTGACAGTGATGATTAAAATGTCTGTTTCCGCCTTGATGAGATGAACGTGGTGGGGCAGGCTAAGGTCGACACATGCCAGGGTTGTCAACTAGACACTATAACTGACACCTACAGTGACATCAATAAAGTCTTTACTTATTATAATAAAATCACTTATGTCGCCTTCCTTTTTTTGCATAGTTAAGATGTATATTAATGAGTGAGTAAGAAAAATGTTATTTTTTATCTTTAAAGTATACCAGTGAATAATATATATCTAAGTACTGACGAGTTGAAATTGATGACAGGTGATTTTCATGCAGAATTTAGACCAGGAAGAATAACTAACAAATGTGATATAAGGAACCATTTCTCTCTCACGAAATTCTTATTAAACGCTACATTTAATTTTTTTTAAAGAAGCCATACCGATAATGTAAAATAGTGAGTAAATCAGCTAAAAATTTTACAACGTTGAAAAAAAAACACCCCACAATATATTTGATCAATAGCGTTTTTAGGAAATCCGACAGAACATCGAAAAATATTCCAACTATAATATCATCTGTTATATCAACTGTACTATTTTCAAAGACAGCCTTGTTATTATCATCTTCAGATTATAGCTTTTATCGTTTTCTCTGTTTTCACCGTATACAGCGACATTCATTCCTTGTAAACAGCTTCTAACATTGCTCTTTTATTTAAAAAAAAATCCCAGTCATGTGATTATATATTTATAAGCAAGCAAATGATGGAATTATACAGCAATTATCTACTGATATACGGACGGTCTTAGTATGTTAGGTCGCTTCTTTATAAAATTTCTCAATAAATATGTTTTATTTTGTACCTCTACCTACCCGATGTTGATGTTTCGTTAGATGCTATATAGAGCAGAAAAAAAACAACAATTTTATACTTATTCTTTAAATAAGTAAAGAGAGAGAGAGGAAATAACACACACACTCCAAAACGACCCTTGGTATTTTTTATTTACTTTTTTTGCCACAACTCGTTGTGACATCGTATAATATAAAGATGATTTGATTTCTTTATGAAATACTAAGAATGAGGTGCCTGTACAATTTAATATAGAAATAGTTTACTATCGACCCTTTTCTTCTTAATTCATTTAGTGGATCGACGTACAGCATACAAGACTGTCTAATTGACACAAAAAGAAAAGAAAAACATTTTGACGCAGAAAGCTACATATGTGTGTCACAGTTAAGAAGGAGGCGTAATTTGTCAGGATTGTGAAGAATTAGTCAGAGAGTCCGATTTTTTCTCTCTCTGAATTCTTGTTTATGCTTCACACAATGTACTTCAAACTCCACTTTCTTTTTCTTTCTTTATATAAAAGTACATATTGAAGCAAAAAAAAAACATATCATAAATTTATAGAGTTTATAGCAATTAAACTCTTCTTTATTAGTTATCTATCTTCATACATCTTTATTACCTTCAATATTTAAGAACACAATAAATAAATTTGCATTTTTGGCAGCAGTTAAACATTGACACGAAAGTAACATACGTTTTATTTCATTTAATAAAAAAGTAGCGAAAAACTAACGCGTTGTCATTATCGGTAAGGTGTAATGCTCGTTCCACGAGCTCGTTATTTAGAGCACGAAAGTCACGCGCATAATCTTGTTAAATATTTTATCCAGTTTCACAGAGAACGAATCAATCAATGTCTCAGAAGTTCGGTCATGAAAAATCATTGCTGAAAGAAATAGAAATCAAAGATGTAGGCAAATGGGACATTAATATTATCATCATCTTACATCACTTCACCCTGTTTGTAATAACATTGCTCCTTAACTGTCAAATTTGTACTTAAATATTTCAAAATGGTATTTTTTTTACTAAAACTCAACTGTCTCTGTTTGATTTAATTTCTTTATAATTTATGACGGCGGAATTTTCATAAATATTTTCAAAATGTCTCTGCCATAGCCAAAAGTGAAAATTAACAATTTTAATTTCGGTCTTTATGGATGTCAAACTTTTCGAGAATGTTTAATACATTTTTCTGGTGTAAGGACTTGAAGCATAAATCTAATATGATTCTTAATGACGTGTGAATATCCTAAATTATATCTATAAATGGAAATTCTCAATTATTCTATTTTATAGCAATATGAATGTATTAAAGAATGACAACGAGGTAGAAGAATGAAAACATGCAAAAAGCTATTACGTCACTAAATTTAACATAACAATTGTCCTGTAAGTGAAAGTGCAATTCTCTTATAACTAGGCCAACAAATAGAGAAATGTAGATACATTGTCACAGAAGATATATATACTCCAGAATAGGTCCTGTGTATGAAATAATCTCCATTTAACGTAGAAAGTCTAAGAACGGTTACAGTTAATGGGGGATTTTCATGTTTTACAGTTTTATTTATCTATTTCATTTAATTATGTTCCTGTTTTTTGTCTTTACAGCGAGCCGGGAGGCAGCTTTTACTCACGCTATATCGGCGGCCGGGGTAGTCCATGCTATCAGCCGGTCGTGCCGCGAGGGGGAGCTGGGCAGCTGTGGGTGTAGTAGGGCCATGAGGCCGAAAGATTTAAATAGAGACTTTATATGGGGAGGCTGCGGAGACAATATAGAATACGGGTATAGATTTGCTAAAGCGTTTGTTGACGTCAGAGAGCGGGAAAAGAATCATCCAAGGCATTCAGACGCTTTATCACGCATGTTGATGAATTTACATAATAACGAAGCGGGAAGAAGAGTAAGTTTATTTTTCTTCATTCTTATAAGAAATATTATGCTAATATTTAAAACAAAACAAGCTAAGATATGTAACTCATTTACAAGTTCAAAAAGGTCTTATTCATCTGTTTTCCTTGACAAGTTTAATTGCATTTAAACATAAGTTAAAGCTGAATCTATTTAAACATTGTTGAAGGATTACACCAGACATGTTTGAAAGAGAAAACGACATCTTGCAAAGTTAACAAATATTGTAATATCATAATTATAAATTAGTCATTTACAAATCTGGAAACAATGTGATCCCTCGGAAGCATTAATCACAACAAAATAACATGAAAATGGCAGACTCGGTTTGACTGAGTTTGTAATGAGGGATAATGAACAAGTGCAACATGCTTCACGCCCCCTAGCACCGGCTTGAGCGGTTTTTGCAACATCTTTTAATAATCAGATTGGATTCTTCTTCTTTTTTTCCTTCTTCTTCTTCTTCTTCTTCTTCATCATCATCATCATCTTCTACTTCTTCTTCTCTTTATTCTTCTTTTGCTTCTTCTCTTCCTTCTTCTTCTTCTTCTTTTCCTTCTTCTTCTTCTTCTTCTTCTTCTTCTTTTACTTCTTCTTGTTTTACTTGAATAAAACACGGTACACCTATGTGATCGACTGCACAACAAAATAAAAAAGAAGGAATTTGCAACATTAACTATTATCTGCTAAAAATGAAATCCGTTCAATAAAAATGCCAAAATGGTTGTAAAGTATAAACGTAGACAGTGTCGATACGGAGAACTTTACCTTTGTATAATTTACTGTCAATAACAGTCAAAGAGTCGGATGTTTTATTTCAATGCTGCACATTCCAAAATACATAATTAATTTCCTTGAACTCAAATAACATTTTTTTTCAAGGGTACGGTAATGCGTTTACTTAATATCAATCATTTATTTTATAGGATTAAAAAACATTTAAACACTGTTAGCGGTTATTCATTCAATTTTATTCTCATTAACAATCATGTTTTTACATTTATCTACACCGAAGGAATTTTTTTCCTAAATTGTTACCTTAGAACAATCGCACACACATAGAAGAAATCAACTGATATTTTGCTGAAAACATGTAAAATTATCGCTGCATCAGTTAAAAGTTTAACACCTCAAGCATTCTTTGATAATATATTTAATATTAATGTTTCTTTCCTACTTGAGTTCGAGTATTTCTCGGAACACTTTGGAGTATCATTAATACTGTTATACCGGAGATGTTAATAAACGTGCACCGGAATTTAGAGAGGCTTGCTAGCTAATGAGAATATAAGATGTTCAAACCTAATTTTTGTAAAGACACATTTAACATTAACCACTTAATTGGGCAATGAATATTTGAATATAACTTCAGAGAAACAGCGGCGAATTAAACCATACGAAAATCTGTGAAATGCCACATTTGAATATTTATACCATTGGCTAAAATAAATGAAAATTGATTAATTTACGCAAACGAAAAGAAACTGCAAGAGTTTTGATTGAAAATAATAAGGTTTAGTTTAATGAAAATCAAGGTTATAAACATTACAAGGAATTGTCTACTGTAGATATGCAAGTGTGTAGGTAATATTTAAACAGATGCGATAAATAAAAACCCCGAAATAGTTATAAAATACAATTCAAAAGTTTAATGCATAAGGCATGAGTGTTCAATGCAGAAAGCATGTATAACAATAATCTAGTTGAGAATAAATAAATTATTATAAAAGTATTTGAAAAACAACGAATTGTAATTAATTAATGTGATAATTACACTACATGCGTACAGTAAGTAAAGTAGAATATATCAAGTGAATAATAAGGCCTGTTAAAATGATTTATTTAGCTCGTGGAGCCTGGAGAATCCGTTTGGCACCGTATCTTACCATAGTTTAGATGATTATTGTAAAAACATAACAGCATCCGAGCGGAAAGTTAGTGGTGAAATCAGTACAATTTAGGTGTTTTGGGATACACAACAGTTCGAAACATGGATTCTGGCATTCCAAATACAATATACAGCTGTCAATTTGCTCGGCTGATTTCAAATGCATGTCTCAGACTCCGTACAAGTGCTGGAATGTCTTGATAAAAAGTAAAAGTGATTAAAACCCCTCAAGGGAAACAAGATTGTGTATTACTCTTATCAAATTATAGCAGGATACGATATAAAAAAATTGAGATATGTTCATAAATTACACATTTCTCGATATTAGAGGCGTCATTTTCTAGATTTCTCATCTTTTATATAAAAAAAGTTTCCTAAATAAAGCGTATTTATACATTGAGGTGAGACTTAATGAATTCATTGTTCTGGCTTGTTTGACCATCATAATGTAACCATTTTATACATTCAAATAGTATGCTTCTTTTTGTGACTTGCACGCCTTATCTCGCAAGCCATACAGGCTCTTTTACCGTATAAAAATTACCTAAAGCAAGATCACAGGAAAAATTGTTTTTGATTTTATATTGTCAGGCAAAACCCTGAAAGCAAATTTCTTGCAAATATTTTACTTGATTACACTTCATGAGAGAGCCCGACTTGCATTACACACGCACTTCTGCTTACTCCACGAAGCAGCAAATACCCTGTTTTTAAATCTTTGTATTTTAGAACGTATTGGTTGTATTACCCTGTCATTTACAAATATTCAAGCGGACAATGGGTTATAATTTAACTATAATTACCCGCAGTAAATGACAGGTTAAAATAAGTAATATTTGGTCATAAATACGTTTTTAACAATCTCGTTCGCAGATAATTGTATATTAGAAATTAATTATATGGGTGGGGAACGGAATAACTTGAATGGAATACTTCTACTTTTCATACATACCTCCATTACTTCCGCCAGGTTTTCTTAAAATGAATTCGACGTGACAGTGTCCTTTTTTCTTCGTTCAATAAATCAACAGCAAAAAAGATATTTGATCTATTAACATGTCTTCGGTATAATGAACGTTGAAAGATTAACTTATTTACTATTACTTATAGATAAATTAGTTTGTAATGTAAGTACACAAAATAATTAGCAAGTACGTAATCATTTTTCTCTCTTTCATATTTTTAAATCTACAAAATATCTAAGAATAAAACAGTTAGGTCATTGTTGCACTTAAGGAAAAGTTATAAAATTTAGTTACAACAGGTCTTTAGGTACAACGTAGTTTTATCTTAAACTGCCGGATAAGCAAAGATTTATTTTTGAACAAAAACAAAGCACATCTAACAAAGTGTAAACAAACAAAAAAACAAAAACCATTGAGCAAATGTAAAGAAAGTTAAAAGAAAATATCTATCCTTTATAGTGACTTACATAAACCGACTACTGTACTGTAATCAAAGAGAACATTCTAAGTCTGTTTGACCGCAAATATTCAAATATCTTTATACGATTGTTCATTTACACGCCCTGCTTAAAACAGAAAGTGTTAAAAGGAAATCTTAATTCTTTTTTTTTTTCAGTGTTAATGGTGTCTGAAGTTGGCCACCTTAAGAAACGACTTATGTCTCATTTAAACAAAAAAGTTCGCCAATAAGGCGACACAATTATCGTAATAATCTCCTTTAATCTTATAATCCGTTCAACAGCTCTTCAAAGCTGATCAAGGGTATTTTAAGGGTGCTAAACATGCTTAAAGATAATCAAAAACTTCCGAATTAGAATATCTAATTCCCTATGATTAAGAATTACTCAATAATAAAACCTATGGTGTTTTGGATTATTGAAGTATGATATACGAACATAAGCTAACATGAAGCCAGTATCCGTTACAGATTGTTTGATTAAAACAACACGAACTATTTTTAAATATAGCTTCTTTTCTGTCTAAGCATCGGACTTCTTTTTATAATCCTATCTTCTGTTGAAACTTTTGATGAACAAAGCTGTAGAAGTATTAGTTATATTGTAAATGGCGTATATAGTTTCTGATAGAATCTACATGTTACTTTATCTGTCTAATCTATGTAAGAGACTATAATCTTCTCTTTATTCTGTAACATTTATGTATGCTTACATATTCACTACAAAGACTTTGAGCACATACTTGTGTCATGTGTAGTCCCCAGACGATGCCGCGGTGACAAGAAACGACGACCCCAGTTCATGAATAAATAATTATACTCGCATTCCTGAAAACCGTTTTTTACAGTCTCCGATGATGTAAAAACAAACCAGACACCCGTGAATGTTACAAGTTCGTTATATGCGGAACTTATTGCAGACACTTACAAGTTCGTTACAAACGGAACTTATTGCAGACACCGTATTAAGTTCTTTACAAACGGAACTTATTGCAGATATACGTAAATGTTACAAGTTTGTCATAAGCGGACCTTATTGCAAACACCGTATTAAATTCGTTTCAAGCAAAACTTATTTCAAACACCGTATTAAGTTCTTTACAAACGGAACTTATTGCAGTCACCGTATTAAATTCTTTACAAACGGAACTTATTGCAGACACTGTAACAAGTTCGTTACAAACGGAACTTATTGCAGATATACGTATATGTTACAAGTTTGTCATAAGCGGACCTTATTGCAAACACCGTATTAAATTCGTTTCAAGCAAAACTTATTTCAAACACCGTATTAAGTTCTTTACAAACGGAACTTATTGCAGTCACTGTAACAAGTTCGTTACAAACGGAACTTATTGCAGACACTGTTAACAGTTCGTTACAAGCGAAACTTTTGTAAGCACCTTTTAACTTCGTTACAAGCGAAACTTATTGCAGACACTGCAGTGAGTTCGTTACAAGCGAAACTTATTTTGAAAACACTGTATGTTGTAAAGTAATGTGATATTCATAAATTGAATAGTTGTACCGGTGTTATTTCGTTGATATATTTATTGAATGATTTACAGACATGGATTTTAGTTATTTTTGCTATCCTATAAATTCTACCCGTGTTTTCTGTCAGTACAGACACAGGTTTTGTCTGCTATAGATCACAATCATAGACACACGTGTCATTGCAC